CACACACACTCACTCACTCACACACACACACACACACACACAAAAACACACCGGTACCCCAAAATACATTTTTAGCGCTTAGAAGTTGATAGTTTATAGCTCCAGATGCTCAAATAGTTCTCAGTTATGTTTCACTTAAATATTAACTTGGTCTGTTTTGTTTCTACTGGAATGCCTCAAATAGTTTGAATTTTGAAGAATTTTATGAGAAATTTTTAAGTTTGTGTTGAAATTTAACTTTTTATTGACAATCGACACTTATTGACTTATTGACACTTGCTCACCGATCGATCCTCTGCAGTGAATGGGTGCCGTCAGAATGGGAGTCCAAACACGGTACCCCAAAATAAATTTTTAGCGCTTAGAAGTTGATAGTTTATAGCTCCAGATGCTCAAATAGTTCTCAGTTATGTTTCACTTAAATATTAACTTGGTCTGTTTTGTTTCTACTGGAATGCCTCAAATAGTTTGATTTTTGAAGAATTTTATGAGAAATTTTTAAGTTTGTGTTGAAATTTAACTTTTTATTGACAATCGACACTTATTGACTTATTGACACTTGCTCACCGATCGATCCTCTGCAGTGAATGGGGGCCGTTAGGATGGGAGTCCCAACAAGCGATAGAACTATTACAATAATCCACACAACTCTAGTTCAACATCTTGTAAAGTCAAAAGCTGTGTGTTTGTAATAAACAAATCTAAACATGCAGCTTTTCACTTCATAAAACATTAATTGATGGACTGGACTTGTTTAGATTATTGTAATGTTTTATCAGCTGCTTGGGACTCTCATTCTGACGGCACCCATTCACTGCAGATAATTCTTTGGTGAGCGAGTGATATAATGCTACATTTCTACAAATTCATCTACATCTTGGATGGTCTGAGGTTGAGTACATTTTCAGCAAATTTTCTTTTCTTTTTTTTGGGTGAATATTCCTTTAAACTTGCTTATATACTAAAATCCCTTTACATAAAATTAAGATATTCTTGCCTTCTTAAAAAAAAAAGAGGTGGGGCATTTTTAAATCAGGACATCAAGATTAATTATTGTGTGATATTAATGAACTTTGAAGGTTAATTTTTATTAATCAGCTAATTACAGAGCCAGCGATGAAGCTGATTGCTTCAGTTGGTGAACAAAACTGACTGATCTAGAGTGGAAGAGAAATGAAATAAAGACTTCACTTCAGTGCTACTCTAGCTCAAGGTCAGGCAGTTGTAATAGGGTTGTACTTTTTAGCTAAAAAAAGATGTTTTCCTTTGTAACTGACCTCCTGAAATTGTTCAGCACCTGAAAAAAACATTGTGCATAGAAAATGTTACTGTAACTTTTAAAATGGAAAAAATGCATTACATTTGTAAAAATAATAATACATTTTTTTTAATTTGATTTTAAATCACAGGCTGAGCAGCATGTGTAAACACAGGCAGATTTCTACAGTAACACAATATGCAGAAAACATCAGAAAAATCATTCTGAACAGACACTCCCCAATGCACTTTTCCATATGTTTATATCCCCCACAACCTGGTTTACTTCATATGATTATAGCGAACAAACGCTGGATACAGGAATAAATATTGTGATTGATTAAGATTGTTGTGAAGCAGCTGGGCCGATGGCTTTATTTGCAGAGATTTTCATTGATATGCTACAGCTAAGCGTGACTTGCATGTTGCGGCTAATATTAGCATGGACTATCCTTATGTTAAACTAGATTTATTCTTTGATTTGAGTTGTTTTGATCACATATTCATGTTGTGAATTATAAATATTGCACCAATTGCTACTTTTATTAAAAAGAAATGAATGGAAGAACATGGGGTTTAATCATTTTGCCGGTTAACTAATCAATGAAATTGCATGTCCTGATCAACTTCATGTAAGTTAACTTTACTGGGTTGGTTTTAAACGCCACGATTGTTAAAATACACCTAAATAATTAAATATCATTTTAGTCGTTTATTTGTGATATTGTGTTTAATTAGGCTTCAACTGTAACGATATGATTCATGTAGTTTCATTCTTAAGGCTGCGGGTGTGATGGACAAAACACCCGGTAGAGGGCGATGAGCCCATAGTTTAGGATGAACTATAATGAATATAAAAGTTGTTTTCGCACTAAATTGTTTTCTTTTTTGTAAACGTTAAAAGTGCTCAAATGCTAAAAATCCGGGTTTTAAACGAACTTTTTATTTATTCAAGGTTGGCATCAGGGGGAAGGATATTGTTGTCCTGGGTGTTGAGAAGAAGTCTGTGGCAAAGCTTCAGGAGGAGAGGACAGTCAGGAAGATCTGTGCTCTAGATGAGCATGGGTGCATGGCCTTTGCAGGTAAGATCGACGAGACAAAAACATTAAAACCCATTACCATGATTATAGCGAACAAACGCTGGATACAGGAATAAATATTGTGATTGATTAAGATTGTTGTGAAGCAGCTGGGCCGATGGCTTTATTTGCAGAGATTTTCATTGATATGCTACAGCTAAGCGTGACTTGCATGTTGCGGCTAATATTAGCATGGACTATCCTTATGTTAAGCTAGATTTATTCTTTGATTTGAGTTGTTTTGATCACATATTCATGTTGTGAATTATAAATACTGCACCAATTGCTACTTTTATTAAAAAGAAATGAATGGAAGAACATGGGGTTTAATCATTTTGCCGGTTAACTAATCAATGAAATTGCATGTCCTGATCAACTTCATGTAAGTTAACTTTACTGGGTTGGTTTTAAACGCCACGATTGTTAAAATACACCTAAATAATTAAATGTCATTTTAGTCGTTTATTTGTGATATTTTGTTTAATTAGGCTTCAACTGTAACGATATGATTCATGTAGTTTCATTCTTAAGGCTGCGGGTGTGATGGACAAAACACCCGGTAGAGGGCGATGAGCCCATAGTTTAGGATGAACTATAATGAATATAAAAGTTGTTTTCGCACTAAATTGTTTTCTTTTTTGTAAACGTTAAAAGTGCTCAAATGCTAAAAATCCGGGTTTTAAACGAACTTTTTATTTATTCAAGGTTGGCATCAGGGGGAAGGATATTGTTGTCCTGGGTGTTGAGAAGAAGTCTGTGGCAAAGCTTCAGGAGGAGAGGACAGTCAGGAAGATCTGTGCTCTAGATGAGCATGTGTGCATGGCCTTTGCAGGTAAGATCGACGAGACAAAAACATTAAAACCCATTATGTGATCAAAAATGACAAACAACAAGTGCTACTCTACACTGCCCAAAACCCGCTTTTGAATCATCAGTGCCAAATTCTTTAAATGAAAACGTACTTACAGTCTGTGAGTCAGAACAGCTGGCATTGTAGTCTACTCTCCCAGGATCAGTAAACAGTCCTCCATAAAATGCGCTGCACACATCTGAATATTTGGGTTAAACTGTTCTGGAACAGTGTTGTTAATACAACTTAACCACTGATTTCTAGTCGTGTCCTCTTTTGGAAGACCAAACAAAGTAGTTTCGCTTTCACAACGAAACACACAACGCCTTCACGACATGGCAGCAGCAGCAACAATACTACAGCGAGAATAAAAGTTACGCCTTCTTTCTTTGCGTGAACATTTGGGCGGTGTTATGCAAATCTCCCCAGATAGTGAGGTAGATATGTGGGGGCGTGTTAGAACGAGCCGTTTTAAGTAGGTGTGGCTGACTCTTAACTTTTATAAAGAATATCTCTTTGGATTTGAGACTTTAGTCTTTGCAACTTTACAGATCTTCTTTATGCACCAAGAGCTTGTAACACTCCAAAGAGAAAGGAAAAATTTAAATCGCATCATATGACCCCTTTAAAAACATTGACTTGACAGAATAGTTTTAGTTGAAAAGTTTTTAATCTGGACTCTCCAATGCGTATGGGTTATGTGAGCATGCTTTTACTTGTTAATGTGTTTGTCCAGGTCTGACTGCAGATGCCAGGATTGTCATAAACAGAGCTAGAGTAGAGTGCCAGAGCCACAGACTGACAGTGGAGGACCCCGTTACTGTGGAGTACATCACCCGCTACATCGCCACACTCAAACAGGTGACATCCCTCACTCCAGGCTATTATAGGAGTTGTTCACTCAAATTAACAATTGTGCCATTTACTCAAACCCATGTGGTTCCAGACCTGTATGGCTAAATGTGTTCTGTGGAACACAAAAAAAGATTGAAAAATGATGACTGGTGAAAGTCAGTGTTTGGACTCAAGTGTTCATCTAAATATCATTGTGTTCTGCAGAAAAGGAAAGTCATACGGGTTTTGAATGACATGGTTTTTTTTCTTATAGTAATGTGATAGCAATTTGAAAATGCTATTTATTTATTTATTTTAAATAACTTTTTGTTCTGTGTTCTTGCTTGTAGGCCTGCACATTTTGGCCCAAAATTTGTAATAAATCAATAATACATTGACTATGTAGTAATAATAATATTTATTATTGTTATATAAAATTTGTATTACTGTATAAAATATTCAACAAAATCAGAAATTTTACTGTAAAGCGAAAACGTATTTTAGAAAAATAATTTGAATGGAAAAACTATTAAAAAAAATACACTACAACTGTAAAATTACAATTAATTATGGTTCATTCATTTTCAAATCATCAAGCTTTTACTTTGGCAGAAAACTTCAGGAAACCCTTGAAGTTTCTCTTTTGCTGACAACATCTGGTCTAAGTGCTTTTCATTACAAGTTTAGAAAGATGCAAATTATAAGCAACTCAAAATCAGAGCACATGCAGAGATGAGTTTGTGCGAACTGAGACACTCAAAACACCAGATCATGAGCTGCTCACGTTTAAAAGAACACGTGAGGCGTTTCACTCTGAAACACACAGCACATTTAATTATTTAAATCGCAGCCTTTGCGATTCAATAATGTCATTGTCAAAGCGCTATTTTGATTAATCGTGCAACCCTAGGGTATATCATACATTTACAGAATTTACCTTTGCAGTAGTTTACTCTGTTACAGTAACTTTCTTCTAGATATATTTTGCTCTGTGTATTCATTGTGTTTTGCTCATGCAATAGCGCTACACTCAAAGCAACGGACGCCGTCCCTTTGGTATCTCAGCCCTGATCGTTGGTTTTGACTATGATGGGACTCCACGTCTATATCAGACGGACCCCTCTGGAACATACCACGCATGGAAGGTAAAGTGAGAGCCATTTGTTTCTAGAACATTCAGGTGTTACTTATTTTGTGACTAGATTGACCCTCTTCTCACCTGTGTCATCAGGCAAACGCTATCGGACGCAGTGCAAAGACGGTGAGGGAGTTTTTAGAGAAAAACTACACAGACGAAGCCATCGCGAGTGATAACGATGCCATCAAACTGGCCATCAAAGCCTTACTAGAGGTAAACACCATGTTACCATAGTCACATGCATTCAGAACAGACTCTGTCATATCATGACGTTGACAGGATGTAACATGTTTGCAATTGTATATGATCTGTGATACACAGGTTGTGCAATCCGGGGGCAAGAACATCGAGCTAGCTGTGATCCGAAGAAACCAGCCCCTAAAGGTAAAACATTTGATTTATGATTTTTGTATATTCATCTATTTACAGTTATCTTGACACACCATTCTTGTCATCCTGCTAATGTTGGAACATGCCTTCTTTCATCTCTCTTCTTTTACAGATTCTGGAGTCCAAAGAAATCGAGACGCTGGTCACTGAAATAGAAAAGGAGAAAGAGGAGGAGGCAGAGAAGAAGAAGCAGAAGAAATCTTCGTAAATCACATGATTTGTGTAGCTTAGTTTTGTTTATACGGGCAGACGCACTTGACTCAGGCCCACACTGTACCCTCCTCCTCTCCTGCCTCTCATCCATTAAGAGCACAGTCTCTCAGTCTTCTGCTGAACCCACAGTATCTGTGAATGTTTTTGTTCCAGGAAATATATTTTAAAAAATCAAAGTAATAAAAGCATGTTCCGGTTTGGGGGTTACCAAGCAAGTCATTTGTCAAGCATGTACTTGTAGGTCCTGGTCAGTTTTCACACTCTGCTCTTTACCACTGCTGAGAATTCTGGGGGAATGTGCTCTGACTGATGTTTCCTAATAAACTCTTTTGGTTTGTACCAATGGACTGATGTCTTTGTTGATGTGATGAAAACCTAAGCACTCCTTTGATTGGAACAGGTAGTAGTAAATTATTTTGATTTACAGTATTATTATGGGATGTATGCAATTTCACAATTTCATGTAGGCTAATTGTTACTACGGTGTGTGTGTGTGTATATACACACACATAATTAAGGCGTTTTAGCAGCATTTGCCTTTAATACGGCCTCCAACCTTAGAATAAATTCATACAACTTTTGAATAGTCTCCTGTTGTTATCTAGAAAACATCTCTACCAGTTCTTTTAGCGACGCTGAAGGAGGGAATCTGTCTCTTGAAAACTGCCCACTATTCTTTGCTTAATGTCTTTACATGCTGTGCAGTCATAATCGTAATAGGGATAGCTTCTGCATTTAATTACACTTAGTTTAAAAGGTAATATGCTTATTTTGTCAACGTAATATTTCCTTTTGACGGGGAGCAGGAGATGCATCCCAACAGATCAATCCAACAACTCGTGATGCATAAACGTTCCCAGTATTCAAGAACTACTGAAAGATGAAAATACAGGAGCAGCATCACGGACGTAATTTCTGACATGATTACATTTAAACTCTGTATCGGCCAAAAATGAGTTATTTTCTTAATATTATTACTTGTGTGACAGTTACATGTACATGTTTAACTCTGACACCACTTTTACCTCAGCTAACCTCCTCAGGGAGAAGCAGTCCCGTCCGAATGGGGCTTTAATAACTCATCGGGTTCAAATGTTGTTTACAATGGTCAGCTGTTCTGCCTGAGAGGAGGCTTGGAACGGGCGGTTTGGGATGGAAAATGACTGTGTGCCCAAGTGTATGAATGGAGACTAGACTAGGCCTCAGATAACATTAAAAACATCTTTGTTTTCACGAGCGCACTCATGCATAATAATGACGGGAAAATTACCTCCGTCTTCCTCCATTTGACGTGCTGTGAGAGGGACGGAAACTTAGAACTCAACGCACACATTCTCTGTGTGCCTTTGATCCGAGGCAGTTAGCAGCGCATGCAGATGATGAGCCAATCAATAATTAATTGAAGAGCTGCAGTCTGGAACAATTTCACTGCCTGTTCAATGAGTCCAGAGAACACGAAGTGTTTATGCATTAGTCAGCATGCAGGACCGTGAAATACTGATGTCAAACATCCTTGACTGGAGAACCTCAGTCTGAGTCACTGCTAAGTATGCTTACATGCACTTTAGAAGTTCAATTTCAGTCTGACTAAAACATTTTTTAAATGTCTCCCAAACACTTTAGCACGACTGAAAATGCACCAGTCTGTTTAAATTTTGTTTTTGTTTTTGACAGACAGCAAGGGTACTACCACGTCGTGGTACTTTTGACACAGAAGAGAAGAAATTGTTGTATACAGTCTTTATTTTTGTTTTCTTTGCACAAAAATTCTCATAGCTTCATAACGGTTGAACCACTGATGCCACATGGACTATTTTAACGATGTCCTTACTACCTTTCTGGGCATGTCAGTTACATTGCTGTCTATGGAGGATCAGAAAGCTCTCAGATTTCATCAAAACTATCTTAACTTGTGCTCTGAAGATGAACTAAGGTCTTATGAGTTTGGAAAATTTAGATTTTTGGGTGAACTATCCCTTTAATTGAATTGTGACTTTACGCACAATAGATTTCAATGGTTTGATGGTAGTGTGGTACTTGAATGCAACTTCAGCAGCAATGTGCCAGTGACTCATTCTAACACTCAAAAAGAAAATCACCTGTAATCACTCACAGGTATGACAATGTAAATTGAACAACTGGGTGAACAAATCTGAGTAAATCTTTTTGGTAAAACAGATTTAAATCAATGAGATGAATCAAAATAAAGTCTTTCATAAAAAGTGTTTCATGTAATGTATACATTTTCAGGCACATTCTATGCGTAAAAATCTCTCTTTGCTACATTCACTTACTTTCCTAAGCCCGTTTTGGCATGTGAGGCTGTGTACCTCTGAATAGCATGCGCTCGCACTCTCTGAAGGGACTGTGAATGCTGCAGGCATATCAATATTTAGCTCCCAGCTTCTCATTCATGATTATTCAGAGGTAATGGAATATTTCAGAATCCTGTACCTCAGGCAAGCACACAGAGTATTTAAGTTTCTGAAGCTGAGGCGAGGCATACATTAGAAGCGGCTCTTTTTGAGAACTTCCATTCAACTTACAAATGCAAAGGCATGCATGACAGTTGAGGAAGACTGGAGATGCTAATGAACAGAGGTAAACTCTAGAATTATGACATTGTTGGTTACCCTTTATTTAACCTTGGTTTAAATCATTTAAGAGTGATGATCGGTCAGCAGCTAATCATGAGACATCCTGCCCCTGATCTGTTGATTTTGGCCCTGGTTATCTTGATATTATTGCACAAGAGTTCTGAGGCTATCTATTGTCCTGTTTCTTTCAGCTTCAGACCCTCTGGCTGTTTGTACTTTCTACTGGTTCGCTCTAGTTCTTGTGTCATGATCGGATTGGTTAGTCAGTCTCAAAATGATTTTGGTTGAATTGAGCTCTGAAGAAAAATCCTGCTTTGATTGGTCAGTATTGTTCTCTCGGCCAATGTCTCGCTGTGATTGGTGGATTTGGATGCCTAAGGCTGTATATGCGTGATTGGATAGTGGTGTTTTGTTCAGGGCATCCACTGCCCGGAGCTTATACACAGACCTCTGTACAATCCCCAAACAACTAGAGCAGCAAAAGTTCAGCATGACTGTATCAGCAGAAAAAGGTCATTTGTAAGGAGAAAAAAATTAAATATTGGGAATTTGAACAACATACACAACTGTGCAGTTCAAATATATAAGATCCACATACTGTGTTGCTGCTAATAGTGTTTAATTTATTCCTTTGTGCTTACTTACTAGTCAATATATAAACAGTTAATTCAGTCATCAAAACAAGGATAGGAACACAGAAATATAACAAAAACAGTTTCATTTTGAACAATGGTAAAGTATGTAATCTAAAGAACTTTTCCCAAACACAGCACATACCTCAGAAGTTGTGCATTTGTATGGTTATCTAGCCTAGAAATGCTCTATACAGCATGAGAGTGTGTCTGAATGTGGGGTCTTGCTCCATGCAGAAGGTCAGATCTCTCAAAGTGACTCGAATCGGTGCTCGAGTTGCAAACTGCCCACATGAACCTAACAACTGGGCAGACAGACATAAAAAAAATCATTTTTTGAGCCACATGGACTTAAATGGTTTTTCTCATATGAAATCAGTTTAGAAATAATTCATGATAAAACAATAGCACCTGTTTGATATCATCACAAAATCATAGTGAAAAAGAAGTACACTTTAGTATACTTACACTGATATTACTTTAGTACACTTGTACGTACGTTAGTTGCAAATAAATGAAAATGTATTATAGTTTAAATTTAATTTAACAAACGTTATTAAAGTCCGCGTGAACCGGAAGTTGCTGCCGACTTTTCAGTATGGTGACGCATTTCCACCTGAAACAGAATATTAAGTAGAGGGCGGGGTTTTATTTTTGCACTCCTCCTCTCATCTTTCACTCACAGCAAACTAATGGCTGGAGGGGTGTGGTCAGCGCCGATCTAGACTTCTGGGGGCCCTACGCAAAACTATGTCGGGGGAGGCGGGGGGTATGAGTGGTTATGAACGAATGTATGAAACGCATTTGTCCATGTTTCACTCAGTCTCGAATCGCGCTCGTGGAAAGTGCTTGAGAAACAGTGTCTCTTCCGCGGCTCGGTATGTTTTCAACTCGTTTTTTTAGTCTCGAGCAAGACTGTACGACATTCACATTACATGATTTGACTGATTTTTACGTAGATAGGGCGAAAGAAATTACCATTAATGTTTTCATAACCGCTGGCCAAATTCAAAAACTAATCTTTAAGAGCAAGGGGGCCTCCCTGGTGTTTCGGGGGCCCTATGCAGCTTGCGTATTTTGCGTATAGGAAGGATAGGCTCTGGGCGTGGTTAAGCAAATTCTGCCCAAGCCGTCAAACTGACATCATCAGAGCAAGAGTGCCATTCTGGAGCAGAAGCAAATGATCAGATTTTGATTAAAGATTACTAAAACAAACAATTTTTTTCAGAGGATTAACTTTAACAGCACGGATTAATTGCTCACCTTAAGACTAAAAATGCGCGCTAACAAAACAAATATTGTACATTTTGATTTAATGCGGACTTTAAATAAAAACTTTAGAGTGCTTTTCTGACCCAATTAAATAGAACGTAAAGGGATAATTCACCTTTAGTTGCTGGTCCCCTTTGACTTCTATAGTACGAAAACACTATAGTGAAATTTTTCTCTATAGAGAAAAAAAAAACAATATGCAAGATAATGGGGACCAGCAACTCAAGTACATCACTTTAAGTACATCTTCATATGTTGTTTCATAATTATGATTATTCCACTATTATCTTGGAAAAAAGGATTAAAGTGTCCTGCCAGATACACTGACATACATTTATGATACATTTAAATATAATTTAATTTATATTAAAACATTATACTATATTAAACAGTATTTAAAAATATTACACATCTGCACTGAAGTTGCAATTTAGTTAAAAAAAAAAAAAAAAAAAAATCAAATGTTTTTTATAGAAACCTAGCTGTTAAGTTTCTATCCCGCACCATTTTTTTTCCACTATATATATATATATATATATATATCTCTCCGTGTATCGAATATCACTACAATATAATGAAGTAATTTAATTGTGCCTTAGTCAAAAAAATTAAAACATTGATTTAAAATAAAGCTTACATTGAAATGGTAAAGTGCACTGTTTAAAAGAGTAACTAAGTGTCTTCTGTTAAAAGGTGTGTAAAACTCATTTACGTACACTTAAAGGGATAGTTCACCCAAAAATGAAAATTCTGTCATCATTTACTCACCCTCAAGTAGTTTCAAACCTGTATGAATGTCTTTGTTCTGCAGAACACAAAGGAAAATATTCTGAAGAATGTGGGAAACAGAGCAGTTCTGGGGCACTATTGACTTCCATAATATTTTTTTGTCAAGTCAATGGTGCCCCAAAACAGCTTGATTACAAACTTTCTTCAAAATATCTCCCTTTCTGTTCGGCAGAACAAAGAAATTTATATGGGTTTGGAACTACTTGAGGGTAAGTAAATGATGACAGAATTTCCATTTTTGGGTGAACTATCCCTTTAAGTGGCCTTTTATTTAATATAACGGTACAATACAGTTGAAATTCGTTTTTTTAAGGGTGCTTTCACCCTTGGTTTGATTGCTTGGTCCGAACCCGAGTTCGATTGCTCCCCCCTCCCCCTACCGGACTGCATTCATATTTTATTTGGGTCAGAATCACGGTTCGTTTGCATCATCAAGCCAGCAGCTGTTTACCCCATTGCTTAGTAACGATGGCACACAAGGCGGCGGCAAAATGCATAACATTGCTCTCTTCACTTTTATACATTTATATTTTTGAAAGGTTTGTTTTGTTTCCAAAGCTTCAGTACGTAACGGCAATGACGTCTGTCTTACGAATGTACTGTAAATGCTCTAAAGAACAATAAAGGCAAATAGAAATTAGATATACAGCTCTCTGCTTGCAGCGCGTCAGTCACGCTCGTCAGGAAAGTGAGTGAAACACACATTTTTATCAAATAATATGTCATTAATAGCGGTTCACTTCCGTGATTTGGTACGATTGCGTTCACATCAGCAATGAACCATACCAGAATTCACTTGAACCGTACCCCAGGCCACCTTTTTTAAGCAGACTCGGGTACGGTTCACGGTTGCACACCTGAGTTCAGAAGAGAGCGTTCACATCATCCAAACATATCGAACTCTGGCGTCAATCAAACTCAGGTGCGCACCAAAAGTGCTAGTGTGAAAGCACCCTTAAATATACTTTGAAGTACACTACTCATGCACAATCAATATAATTAAGTGCTTTTTCACAAGGGGAGCTAAAAATAGGCCTAGTACATTATCCTTTTGAGAAATCATTCAATCAATCAGAATAAACTCACCTTAATTACAGTATGATAAAGAGAAAGATTTAGGCATACATATAGACATGAACAAATAAATGCTGCTACAGATAATTTAACTTTGGAAACACAAGGTTGGCATCTTTTAACCTCCGTTCTTTTCCTGCTAACTGCACTGGCTCTTTATAGAGATGCTTATTCTACTAGAGATGAAACCTCAAAATGAGGCAAACACTAAATTCCCTAGGCAGAGGCGTTTTTTCTAAAAGGCCTGTGTAATTTAAGCACACAAAAACTCAAAACCATCTTTTCACTTATTAGCATTCCTCACTGCCTAAAGGAAAAATAATTCACAAATGTAAAAACTAATTAAACTAAACTAACATAAAATCCTCTGGTCTTTTGTTCAGTCTTTCCTTGTCCTGTTTTTCTCATATATTTTATAAAATCACTAACAATACCACCTGGTATATTACAGATAAAGTTAAGTCCTTCCCCTTTAGGCATAAACAGTACATTACCATCAAACATTTGGGGTTAGTAAGATTTTTTACCTGTTTTTGAAAGTCCCTTATGTTCACCAAGGCTGCATTTATTTGATCAAAATACAGTAATATTGTGAAATATAATTACAATTTTAAATAACAAATTTCTGTTGAAATGCTGTGATGCAAAGCTGAATTTTCAGCATCATTCCTCCAGTCTTCAGTGTCACATGATCCTTCAGAAATCATTCTAATGTGCTAATTTTTAATATTAACATTTCTTATAATTATCAATGTTGAAAACATTGTGCTGATTAATATTTTTATGGAAACAATGATACAGTTTCTTTCGGGAATTTCTGATGAGCAAAGTACAAAATAACAGCATTATAAATGTCTTTACTGTCATCTTTACTGAATAAAGTACTAGCTTCTTTAAAAAAAATCTTACCGACTCAATCTCTGAATGGCATAGTATCAACCGATTTTATAGCATGAAAAAGTCAAAGAGATTGATGTGTTTGGTCGACAGTGGTGTCCTCAAACACAATATACCAATTCCCTTTCTAAAGGAGTTTACTAATATTTCAGTGACATAAGAGCAAATGCGTAATTTCATAGAGCCACACAGGAAGCCTTACACATGTACTTAATAAAAACCAAAACAGCTCGTCTAAGTACAAACAGAAATATAAAAATGACCAAAAGCTCTGTTCTAAAGACTGTTTATATATGTGATTGATTTTGAACACATATGTAAACATTTCCTGCACATCTGCACAGAATGAAGTATTAAGACAGTATACAGGAAAACTCTGAACAGAGGTGACTGTATAGACATGTGCAGGTACCTGGTTGGCCCCTGAGCCAGGGAGCTCCAGAGATTTCCTCTTACGTGGCCCCAGGGCTGCCAGCGCTGCCAAATTTGCATCTCTGTGCTCCATCTGTGCCAACTCCAACTGCTGCATCTAAACAAGGGCAAAAAAAGAGAGAATGTGCGTTTGACAGGCACTCAAAAATAAAATCAATATTTCCATTGGCTCACCCAAATCCACATGGAATGTTTATAAAAAGAAAAAAAACGGAAAGCTGTTATTGGTGATGAATCTTTCATTTTAGCACTATTGATTTTACCGATAGACTATGACAAAGAACCCAAGTCGGAGGCCTGTGCAAAAACACACAAACATGTTACGTGCTCTCTAACACACGACTAGAAGAGCGCTACCTTGTAAACAGACACACAACTCATCCAGAGGGCTTTCATTACATTCTGTTCCCTGTTTAGCCGCAGGCTTCAATTCCAGACCCAATATTAGACTCAATTAAAATGAGCCCCCAATTAGAGAGTCTTGTCTCCAGGGTATGTGTATGTATGTGTGTGGATTTGTCTATGTGGGGCACAAATGGGACTTTATGAAGAGTATTGATCGTCCTCATTGCTATACAAGGGAGCAGAAGGAATGAAAAACAGGTTGTGAAGGAGGGACGTATGTCTTTTTATTAACACCAACAAACAGAAATCCTTCTACCTCTTTGGCTCGCTGTTTCAGACGCTGTTGCTCTGGGTCTTCACTGTTTGTGCGACTCTACATGCAAATAGAGGGGAAAAAAACAGTACATTTTAAATGGAGACTGATTCCAGGTGCTTTTCTCCTCTTTTGTTTTGTCTGCTAGTTACCCGGGCAATGCGGAGCAGGGCTTCTCGCTCCTCTTCCTCCCTCCTTTGTTTCTCCAGTCTTTCCAGTTGCTCCAGGAACTTCAGCTGAGAGCGCGTGTCATTGGTCTGACTGTAGCGCCAATCATCCTCACCACAGGAAACACACACCACAGAAAACAGAGTACGACAAGACACAAATTTGAGACTGTGGTACACATTAGTTTATACAAGTCAACATGAAACAGCATTAACTACCCATTTTACATCCATATTGCAGTGTAATTCTGGGAAAACAATAGTTGCCTAAAACAATAACTCAATCCAAAATCACATACTTTGCAGCCTTTAAAAAAAAGTATGTTCTATATGAATGTGTGTAATATGAATTTTATCTGGATGTACAACATTGTCATGTGACTTGAGGTATCAGTTGTGTCGCTTCAATGTCATTCACAATTCCTCTCCCATGGCCTTATTGGATAGTTAAGTGTCCATTTGATGTGCACTTTGGAATCTCAGTGAAGGGGAGGTAGTAGGTCATCATTTTACATACTGTTCTTTGTTAACTACATAATAGGGGAGCAAGCATATTAAGATCAAGTCATAGCATAGATTTGACTATTTTGTGGTGCTGATTCCAAAAACAGCCCATCACACTTTGTGCATTTTTTTCTTTCGACAACCATTTGTAAGGTGAAGTCGTCTTTTATTATTCCTTAAAAAAAGCCATAAAACATGACATTTTCATCTGAGACAGGTTAACAACAATTTGTTCAACACTCACATGTAAGAACATTTTAATGATATTTTGAATATACTTGACAATTTTGACTGCTTTTGTTATTTTGATAAGTGCATAAAGCTGATAAATACCTCATTTTAAATTCTTATTTTGTGGGGAAAAAAAACTGTACATTATGGAAAGTTTCTATTGGATTTTTTTTTCAATGCAGCATCATCAAATTAGTTAATACTTGGCTTTTTTAAAAAAGATACAGGGCTATGTTATATTCAATCTTTACATGTGGGCGGGAACGAAACGCTCTTTTCCGCTGATTGGTCAACCAAACATTAAACCGTGCCGTCATCAGTCGTTCCCCAGTTCCGCACAGCATAATAACAGTCCTCCGCTGCTACAGTTGTATGGATTCTTATCGCGTTTATTGCAACTATATTTCATAACTTTCTCATCAGACAACCAGACTAATGAATGGCTCACGAATAGCCCGTACAGGGGCAGAGCCTAGACAGGGCTTAGCCTACTTCTGTGTAGGCATAAATTCGGCAACCTGCGTGAGAAATATTAGTTTATTTCATAGCCCAATTATTGTTTTACTTCCCATCTGCACCCACAGCTACCCCCTAACCTACATCTCTGGCACATCGCCTGTTTTATTGAGCTGACACAGCAAAGTTTGTGCGGCAAAGCCGCGCGACCACTGATCTAATAGAGTACGCGTGACGCACTGGACAGCATTCTGCACTGTAGTGGAGTGCAGATTATCGATTTAAGTGTAAAACCTATGCAGCAGTCATGGCTTTTGTTTTAAGCAATACGCTGAGTTTTGGACAAGGGATAAAATTTAAATGATATAGATATGCCATTGATATCACATTATTATGCATCAGTGTAGTTTATGGTCCCAACTATTATTATTCTCTTTCTCTCTCTCTCTATATATATATAGTGCTCTCTCAGTTACAAGATGATATTAAAACCCTGAAATAACACTTTGAACAATAAGTTATTTATTTAGTGATGAGATTATTTAAGCATTTAATTGCGATAAGAGGCAACTGATATTCAGGGGTATTTTTTTTTTTACATTCATATAGGATTTTTTTTCTATTCATATTAAATATGTATGTGATCTTTAATGTTACATTCTTAAATTTAGTTACTTAGAATAATGTGACACCATAGGCTGTTTCCAGATAAATCAGTATCAACCAAAGACATCTTTGCACAGGTGGCAAAGAAGCTGCATCTGAAGTTGATTTTTGATGTATTTACGTGTTAATGTTGCCCAGAAGGCAGTAATTGCATTTACACACCAATTACAATTGCATAATGTAATGTGATTAATGTTTTAAACTTAACATCTTGAATGCAAAAATATATAATGAATGACAAAATGAAATGAAAGCAGCCTATTATCGCCGGTAGGTGGCGGCAACTCGTTGTGTTAATGAATGAGTCATCCATTCAACCGATTCGCTCAAAAATCTGATTCATTCTGGAATAAGAATCAAGTGGCTTTCTATACTAATGGGTCATTAAATCACTCACTCACAACCAATTCATTCAAAGAGTCATGATCATTCAGGAACGAAACACCACTCTGTGCCTTGAGATAGGAGTCAGTCGGTTCTCAGCAGTTCTGTGTTTTTGACTTGTTTGGCAGAGAAAATTAAAACACAATTTTTTGAGACATCATTTAATACTCTGTATTAATGAAATAAACTCAGTGTATTGCTTAAAACAAAAGCCATGACTGCTGCATAGGTTTTACACTTAAATCGATAATCTGAACTCCACTACAGTGCAGAATGCTGTCCAGTGCGTCACGCGCACTCTATTAGATCAGTGGTCGCGCAGTTTTGCCGCACAAACTTTGCTGTGTCAGCTCAATAAAACAGGCAATGTGCCAAAGATGTAGGTTAGGGGGTAGCTGTGGGTGCAGATGGGAAGTAAAATAACAATTGAGCTATGAAATAAACTAATATTTCTCACGCAGGTTGCTGAATTTATGCCTACACAGAAGTAGGCTAAGCCCTGTCTAGGCTCTGCCCCTGTACAGGCTATTCGTGAGCCATTCATTAGTCTGGTTGTCTGATGAGAAAGTTATGAAATATAGTTGCAATAAACACACTAAGAATCCATACAACTGTAGCAGCGGAGGACTGTTATTATGCTGCACGGAACTGGGGAACGACTGATGGCGGTACGGTTTAATGTTTGGTTGACCAATCAGCGGAAAAGAGGGTTTCCTTCCCGCCCACATGTAAAGATCAAATATTCAAGCCATTTATTCATTTTCTAGCCCTGAACGTAAAAACGAAAACTCAAGCAGAATTCTTGTTTTTTTATGTAAAACGAAAAAAGGAACCTTTTTCTTATTTTTCTGTTTTTAATATTAAATTAAAAAACTAATGGATGGAAGATACCCTGATTATGCAGCCTAGGTGATGTCTAAAATGAACAGTATTTAACAACTCTCTAGTTGTTCTAGAAAGATTGATATAATATCAAATTG